GTATTATTTGAACCGCGTATTTCCGCGACTGTACGTTGAATAACAGTTTCTTTTATGATATATTATTACGTCCATTATTTAGTCCTTATTAGTAATGCGTGTATTAAGTTTGTTACACGGGTTATTTACACGCGTTATGCAACAAAAGTATTATTTAGTACTCAGTATTTAAATTGGCACGTCGGTAACGAACGTACTCTATTGCCCGACGTGCCAACTTAAATGCTACAAGCATTTTAATTTGAAAATACACTTTGGTTCGCAAATGGTATTGATTTTTATTATGTTGTGTAGTGAATCATTTTTTATTTAATTTTTGCTGCTTCTTTTAAACTCTATCGATCTATAATTGTTTAAAAATAAACATTATTTATAGATGAAAAAAAAATGAAATTAAAAAAAAATATCTCTAAGTGCAATAGACAATTTTTCTTTTTATATTTGCTATTTATGGACATATTTTAATATTTTATGTATTAATCTAAATTATTAATTTATTACTATTTGTTTCTGTTATTTTCTTACTTTGGGGCCGTCCATAAATTACGTCATCAATTCCTCCCCCTACAATCATCCTATCGTCATTTCTTAATGACCCCCCCCCCCTTCTCCCAAAATTGCGAAAATATTATATATTTAAAATATTATTGTTAGAGTATTTTATCTGTAGTTATAGTTAGTATTATGAGTTATTTTAGTATTGTACGCGCCTTAGCCTCTCACATTTGCAGTCTCACTTACTAGGTGTGCTGGAAGAAATTTCTTTTTAGAAATAATGTTTTTGTACGTGAACAATGAACTATAAATAAATAAGAATGACGTCAATTTCGACACCCCCCCTCCTATCTATCATTTACCATCATCCGCAGACCAACCCCCCCTCCCCCCCTAATTTAGAATGACGTATGACGTAATATATGGACGGCCCCTTTGTAACCATTGTCGGACAAGACTAAAGTCGAACGAATGCACTTGTACTCTATATATATAGTCATTCGTAACTGTGTTGTATATAATAATGCTTTTCATAGTCCTTTTACTGGTTTCGATACAACTCATTGTTACATTTCTTTTTCGTCTAGCATATTTTCCAGCTATCCTACTCCCGTCGTCTAAAAAAACCTAGGAACACCAAAATCAAATCGTTATACTTTTAGATCCAAACACTTTTTTTCTATCTAATGACGTCATAATTGACAATATACTTTTGAGAGACAAAAGAGTACGTGGGGGAGAGTTGGAAATATTTTTTTTTCGTGTCTATAATATTATATGTATAGATACATTTTAATGTTTAGTTATTGAAATATGCTGTAAATATCACAATGTCACGATAATATAAATACTATTTACTAAGCAATTTGTAAGAAGTATTGAATTTTATACAAGGTAGATAGGTTTTGTTAATTCTTAACGTGGATTTCCATTGACAAAACGTTCTAACAAAACACATTTTAATCTTAAAAAAAGAATGTTTTTGCGTGTTTCAGCAATGGAAACCCACGCGTGTGTACGTCGCGAAATAGCGGCGTTATTTAATGTTTGTGATGTTACTTGTTATTTAAGCATGCATTTTGTATTTAAAATTCAATATACCAATGACGAAGTGCGTTCTGAAATCTAAACAAGCGCCAAAAGGTAATTAGACTAGAATATGTATTTACAAATGTATAGACTTTCGCGTGAAAGGCAAAAGATTTATTCCTTGTCCGAAAATAATTGTATTTACCCTTAAGTATGACGAACGCATTTCGTGAATGTAAATAATGCAAACGACTGTAATAAACTTTTTTTTATTAAAACAATTTATTTCCTTTCAACCTTTAATTCATTTCGATCTAATCTCAAAGATATTCACAAAAATACACAACAAAAACAACTGTTGGGATGTTTAATAACAACAGAATCGATTAATTCTAATCGAAACAATCGATTTAAAATGATAAATTATGCAAGTACTTATTTTATTGATTAGAAGATCGTAAAAAGTGAAAAACGTCAAGCCGAACGCTTAGAGTGACTATGCCTCTCTATCGCTTGTTCTGCGCTCTCACTCGCACGCTCGGCTCAGGCGGAACGTGACGATAAAAAAGAAACTTGATAATAAAGACAACAGCACCAATTTTATTGCATTCTTTTGTCTTTTGTAATTCATTTAATTACAGCTTGTTATTATTTTGTTACCCTCTACTTCTTCTTCTTTGGTGGTGGGCCTTTCTTCTTGACCTCCTTGAAAGGTCCGAGCTTCTGTCTGACAAGGAGTCCCCTCCACCAGGCTTGCACTACCACCGCGGCGTTGAACATCTTCTCGCGGTACTGGCGCGCCTTCTCGCGCTCCTCTTTGAAGTTCACCCAGTCCTTCATCAGCTTGTCGTGTTTCTCCAACTACAAGATGACTACTTAATGAATGGTTTAGTCAAACAGAAAGAATAAACAATACATAAGACGTGTGATACTAAGTAATTTATCAAAATGCACATTATCTTAAGTAAAACGTTTAAGAACAAATCCAGCATTAAACGGATTGCCATTTTTTGTCTGTTACCCATTTTCCCCAGTGTCATAAGCCAGGAATTAAAAATAACCAAGTTTTTTATTAGATGTCATACAAAACATACCGTCTCCTCTAGTTTTTGTCTGTTTTCTAACGTGGTTTCGTAATCGGACCTCTTAATCTGGATCTTCAGATCTATCCCCTCCATATCCGTGTCGTACTTGTTCATCCAACTCTCGACCTTCTCTAAAGTTTCCTAAACGGTACGCTCTGCTTTGATGAGGTTAACGGTGTTTATAATTTTAAGAGTATTTCATAACAACTTTACGTAACTTACTATGCTCGATTATGCTAACTTCACACGAAAAATTAGACGTTGAGATATTCATACAATAGCTGTACTGCAATGTATACAGGTTTTAACACTACCAGCGCCTTTGTTGAGATTTATTTATTTATTTATTTTATTATATAAATTATATAATATTTATATTTATTTATTGTGGGTAAATGGGTTATGTGAGACTGTAATACGCACACCAAGACGCCCCTTTCCGCTCGACCCTCAGGTAGGGTACAGCTTGTTATTTCTGTACTCATTGTTTCTAGGCGTGTGTTTTCATTACTTACATTGATGATAATATTGTTGAGAAGCTCGAACTCAGTGTGCACGCGCTGTTCATGATCCAGTCGTTGCTTGTGCGTCTCTATCTCCGAGGCGGGCGGGCGCTCGCGGTCCGCGATGGTCTGCTCGTGCTGCTCCGTCCGCGCACGCTGCCAGTTCACGATATACCGGGTCTGGATTTCGGCGTTCAGCACCGCATCCTAAAGAAAACATGCAAAAAGGCCAGAGAACATTGAATCAAGGAATTAAATCTTTAGATAATCAGTGGATTTGTTACTTACTTCCACCTGAGTTTTGAGTTTATCGATCACCACGTCGGTGTCATAGGTAACAGTTTTAACGTGCACACGTTGTTGACGAATTTGTCTGTTCAAATCTCGTCGAGTTCTATAAATTGGTCAAAAACAGATGAATTGTGATTGCTAATATGTACCGTAGTAATATCCCTTTTATAAGCAACCTAGAACAAAGTTAATAACTAACGCTCTATTCCTAGCTTCATCTTCTAGAAGGGTGAGGTAATGTTCCTCGCGCTCCACCATGCCGGCGGATTGCTGAACCAACGACTTGAAGACGCGCTCCAACGACAGGTCTGAATACGTTGAGGTCATCACGTCGAGAAGGAAGTTTCTGTAAACAGCAAGATTTAAGGACGAGAAACGTGAACTGAGCTAAGAAAACATTTTCAGATTACAATGTAAAAATAAGATCAGAAGGTATTGTTTTATTTCGGTGAACATTATCTGATTAAAAAAGTGAAATGTACTGTAGGATACGTCTAAAATAAACAAGATTCAGTTAACCTGTCCGCTTCCAACTTGTCCAGCTTATACTCCTCACGGCCCAGGTCATTGGGATTGATCTTCCCCAATGGGTCAATGTTTTGCGCCGGGGGAACAGAAAACTTTATTGCTAACAGATGGCCCATGTCAGCCATCGCTTTTGCCACACGCAAGGCGTTGTTGCACTGCGCTACGTGAGTAAGAAACCATCAAAACCTTATCACAGGTCGAGAAATAAGAGTATAGTCGAGTGATAACAGTAGTTTTGATTAGAAATCATTAAAATAACTCACCTAGGATACGCATAGTTGTAATTGCATCTTCTAAAATAGTTGCAAACAAACATGCAGTCATAAATGGCAGCCTATAAAAGTATACAATTTACAGAACTTAATAATATTATTAAAATTTCCAATTATGTACATGTGATAATTCTGTCTAGACTTACTCGTCTGCTTTTTTCTTATAATTTCCATTACCTCCGCACTCCTAAAATTTTAGGGAACATTTTAAGATTAAAATTGGTAAAGTTTTATGCGGAAAAGTATTGTGGTCTATCAGTTATCCAAGACAAACCTCTTCGATTTTATTTGTTCTTGATTGACTAAGTATCTTCGATTGAATTTTTACGACATTAACATCCCAACTTTCTATGTCATTGCTTGAACCCCTTCGGTTATATGAGTACATGTTAAAATAAAATGATATGAATTAATTAAATTAGAACTAAACTGATAAATATCAAAACTGTCAAGACATTTAAAAACTTGTGTCATTTGTAAAAGACAACGTCAAGTTAATGCATGTCAACGCCATTATTGCTTTAGTTTAAAAAAAATATAATTTACCGGACTGTTCATATTAATATCGAGTAAAACCGACCACGATAACAATTTTTTATTCTATTTGATGAATTGAAATCGATTCCTCACATCACCACACCCACCTCACTATTCGTAAACGTCAATTACGTCACGTGACTTTTTTGCCCAATCACAGATCAGTTTTGATTTTGATTTAAAAAACTAACTTCATGAAGGTAACATCGAGTTACATTTTAGGCTTTGTTTACCAGTTTTATTATGCCTGAAAAAGAAAAGGTGAGTTTGGAAATTTAGTGCACCATAAAAATCAAACAGGAAGTTAATTACAGTTAATGATAGTGCAAAAGCGGTGGAAACATAAGTGTTCGGCATTTGAGATACGATAATCGTAAACTAGTATTATGGCATGCCATGTCAGTTCGGTTATGGTATGTGTTTCTGCATAATTTACGCGTGTAATATCGTCGTTAATTTGTGAATCGAGCCAAATATTAGTGGTGTGAAAGTTTTAGTGACAACTATTTTTCACAGGAGGCGATGAAGACTAAAAGTGATAAAAACAAAAACGGAGACACCGAAACTGAGGTAAGTTGTTTATAATAGTTATTTATTCAATTTCCTTGTAACAGGTTAATTACTTAATACTCTATTTCTATAAAATACCAACAACTTTCGCACTAAAAATATGATATAACAGTTTACATAAAATCTGCATTTGAAACATTTTTAATTGCAAAATAAAAGTATCAAATCGTTGCGGCTTTTCAAAGTAGTCATTTTTGGAACTCCATATTGTTTTTTTTTATTTTAATTAGTAAAAATAATATATATGAAATTTGTTCATCACTAATCAATAATTTACTTTCCATTTTATTACATGAATTGTATAATTTTTATTAGTTACATTATGTAGTAGTTTCCTTGCTTTATTTCATTATTTTTACTATAGTACCACACACACAGTATCACTTATTGATTTAGTAAATTTAGCTTATCAAAAGTTACATTATAACTGTACTTTAATTAATTTAGCTTGTCTATTCACAACTGTAAATATTTAAAAACATAACAACGTAAATTCAAACTGTTATAAATAATTAAACATAATAGTTACATAATCATATTACCCATTAAGATAGTTTGAGTTTAAGGCATTTAATACTTATTCTGTTATTTTAACTTATCATAGAGACAGTATTCTTATTGGAATCTTAATACCTTAATAGTTAATGTGGTTCACAATTAATGGTAAGATAAGAATAAGAATCTTTATTGAACACTAGGGATAACTGCATTAATCACTGATGCCTTGTGTCTTAAACATTCTTGTTTTTAAAATGCCAAGGACCTCCCTTACAAAATGATTCATTCATATAGTATGAAACAATAAAATAACTCTTATTTATTAGTTTTAACAAGCAAGATTAAAAAAATAATTTTAACTAGGTAATACACCTAAAAATCATATAAAGCCAATCAAGAGAGTGCAACTACAAATTCTACAGATATATTAAACATTTTTATTCACTAAATGTTAGTAACATTTGCATTAATACCACTAGAATGTTTTACTTCTTAATAAAATTATAATTGCAAAATACGGATGGATGTTTGTTAGAGTTTGTAGCCTAATCAGCTGATTAAAATTTAATTATATCTTACTAATATTATAAATGCGAAAGTTTAGATAGATGGATGAATGTATGTTTGTTAGAGTTTGTAGCCTAAACGGCTGAACGAATCTCGATGACATTTGGCACAATTGTTAAGGATAATCTGGAAGAACACACAGGCTACTTACTTTTTTCATTTCACGCGGACGGAGTCGCAGGCGAAAGCTAGTTTATAATTAAAGGAAAAGCATAATCTGGAAGAACATGTATGCAACTTAGTTTTTATAAATTCCTTGCGAATGGAGTTGCAGGCAAAAGCTAGTGTATAAATAAATTCAATTGTTAAAATGTTATCAGCATGACAAATCAAGTGAAACACTAAATAATACAAAGTGAAGTAAGCAATGTAACTAATGAATTATGGTAGAAATTGTTCTAGAAAATTCAAACATTCATTTTAAGTAATAACCATAAATATTAAGCATTTTGTTAAAATTCCTTTTAATGGCACAAATTTAGATATATTACAAGTACAAGAAAACATATTATGTTGTTGTTATTGTTACGTACTTGAGTGGACTAGCGGTGCACTGTAGAAGCTCTCTGCCCCACTTTGGGTACATAGGACAGTAAGAAGAATAGTACAAGAGTATTGTCACTAATAAAAAGAAATATTGCAAAAACAAAATAGTAAACAGGATTCTTACCATAATGGAACTTTTGAGCTTCCAATTCTTATTTATTAAAAATAATTTAATTCAAAACTCACTGTATGGGAATGAATACAAAAATTCAACAAATTCTTAATTAATTACTTAATGATGTGAACTTGATTGATACTGATACCTAGACTTAGATTTTTCTAGATTTACTTAACATAAAAGGAATCTGATTTATTTATTTTGTATGAATAATTTGTATGTCATGTTAAACGACCTTGCAACACTTATCATAGATAATAATAGGAAAGGATCAAACTTATGGTCTGGTTTTTAGTAATCCTCTAATAATTTCGATAGGTATTTTTTTTTAATTGTGTACGCTGTAAGTAATTGTGAAGAGAGACAAGATTAATTTTTGTGTAGTTACACCAGTTTCCAGTTGGAAATGTTAGCTATCTCAATAGATTAAATTATGAATAAATCACTTATGTACATAAATGTATTCATTTAAAAACTTTAAAAACTTGTATAGGCCTTTGGATTCTAAAATAAAAGCATGTATGGAGAAAAAAAATCGTTACATGGACTTGTTCTAAGACAAAATGTTATGAAAATTTGGCGAAAGGTAGCCTTCTCAGCGAATGCCGGAGGGACATAGCCATTTCTGCGCTGGTTTTTGGCTGGCTCCTTTACACTCAAGTAAAATAATACATTAATTAATTAGGTAGGGTAACCAAGCCTACTAATTAAACACATAAATACACTTAAAGAAGGAAAAAAACACATGTAGCTGACTATATACTAAATACTAGCAATTTAAGAATTACCTGGTACTTTTGTTTCCCCATAGCATATTTAAAATTTGAAGCCATTATCTATACTAATATTGTAAAGAGAAAAACTTTGTTTGATTGTAATGAATAGGCTCAAAAACTATTGGGCCGATTTTAAACATTCTTTCACCATTACAAAGGTTATTTATTTATCTGTGAGTAACATAGGCTATATTTTTAAATTTCACGCGGACGGAGTTGTGGGGAGAAACTGGTTTTAAATTTTTGCATATAGTCGCAATTTAATTAATAATTGTGCAGATATTATTTGATTGTTTTGCTGCAAGTGTTGACACAAATCCGCGGCCCGTAATTGCAGACGATGCGTAGTTAACGAATTGTATTGCACAATCGATCGCATTGAAAACCGTGGAATAATGTACCTTATTCCTTTGATATAGAGAGTGCACGCTATCACAGTGTCAATAGTGTAAGTTTACTGTAAACATTGTTTTGGCACTCGTGTAACGTATCAAAACAGTGTTTGCGAAGCGACGCGTGCGTACGAACGCAACTTACGGTATATTAGAATTACTATTTCCTTTATCAATATCCGTTTATAACTGGAATATTTGTTGTAAAATATTTCTATGAGTGTTGCTAGAGTTTATTTTTACACGCGGTGGTATTATGTTGGTGTTTTGCATTCCTTTATATTTTTATATGCTCTAAAATTATTTTGTTAAATATACATTTTAGTAATACAATGTAAACGTTGAAATGCGATAGTGAATATTTATTTTCGAGTTATATAAGTTATTTTGTTATCTTGAGTTATAAAATATCACTTAGAACATTCTAATTAAGTTATTCTTAACTTAAACTGTTATACTAGTTTTCTACATAGCAACTAGTGTTTGTTTTTAACCAACTTCCAAAAGGAGGGTTCTCAATTCGTCTGTGTTTTTAAACCAATTTTCATATTTACGCCTTCGCATTAAAAAAAAATAAAGTTAAAAAAAAACGGGCGATGAACTGTAAAGGAGGGACCGGATTGCATTTGCTTTTTTCATTGTACACGATTTTCAATTGCGGTCACTTGCACACGAAGAAGTATTTTTGTAAAATGCGGCATATTTTTACCAGACTTAAAGTCAGTATAAATAAATTTTAAAGGTTCTGTATAAATGTTGTTTAAACATGTTGAAAAATCTTCGAAATATAAAATAAGTTTTGGCTATAAGATTCAATCGAAGTCCAATGTGTCTCATGTTAATAAGTTCCTTTGGTGTTGCGGATATCCATGGGCGTCGTAGACCACCTCGATGGTCTCGCCGCTCGTTTGCCCTCTTTTATTATAAAAAAGTAAAGATGCTAGAATACTCTACAAAATAATCTATTTGTTATAAGTATGTTCATTATATCTAAAGATGTATACGATCCATACAATTGATGTTTCGCTAATCGTGAGGAGTCTCTTTCTTTGGAAGAAAGTTGAAAACGTTCTTATTGGTTACATTTTCATCATCACCAGCTCACCATACGTCCCTACCGAGGGGCACGGAGCCTATCCTATAAAAGGGGTTACTAGGCCATAGTCAACCACGCTGGCCAAGTGCGGGTTGGTTGACATCAAACATATCTTTGAATTTCTTCGCCGATATGTGCAGGTTGCATCACGATGTTTTCCTTCACCGTAAGAACGTCGGGTAAATTATGTACATGGCGGGATTCGAACCCAACACCTGTATATTACAAGTCAAGTGTTCAAACCAATGAGCCACCGACGCTCTAGGTTACATTTTAGGTTGCATAAATATCACAAAACGGTATACGATACATACGTTTTAATAATTCTTAAGTAAAACCTGTAGTATGTGTAACTAAGCACTAATTGTACATTTATGAGGTTCG